AGAACTTGAACATTCGCCAAAGTACATGATAGTTCTAGAAACGTTGCGTCACGGCGGTCATGTGACTGCTGACGCAACATTTCAATAATGGCTAATGAAAAAGTGAATTTGCTTGATACAAATCACCAGCTCCAAAACACTAGCTGTAAAAATTTACTAATTCTAAGAAGACAGTTTAAATGAGTTTACTATTTGTAAAGACACGGGGTAATAGATATAAGGCACTACAGTAAGAAGGAAGTTGAGTTGAGATAAATCATCACTTTTAGAGAGGTAATTTTGATTACGTAAATCACTTATTGCGATAAAAAGATTTAGTTGAAAAACTCACTTGTTTTAAGAAGACAGTTTGGATGGGAAACAATTCATTAGTTGTAGGACACAATTTGGATGGAAAACAAATTACTAATTATAAGAATAAAATTTGGATGAACCAATTCTCTAGTTGGAAGAAAACAATTTCAATCAAACAAACCACTGGTTGAAAGGAGAAAATTTGAACAAAACAAATCACTAATAGTAAGGATGCAGTTGGGACGGAGTAAATATCTTTTTTGTAAGGAGTCAATTGCCCCGAAACAAGTCTCTTATTGTAACATGCTAGTTTGAACCAAACAAAATTTTTATTCTAAAGAAATAGCTTTTTCTATTTCTAAGGAGACAATTCGTATGAAAAAAATCACAAGTGGAAAGGAGAAAGTTTCTATGAAATAAATCAGATTAACATTTCTAGTTGAAAGGAAAGATTTGAATGGAAGAAATCACTAATTAGAAGAATGTACTTTCGATCAAACATATCTCTAGTGTAGGGAAACAGTTTGGACAAAACAAATCACTTGTTGTAACGATACAGTCAAGATGAAACAAATCACTATTGTAAAGATGAGTTTGGGTAAAATATTTCTGTAGTTGCAAGGATACAGTTTGAATAAAAAATGTCTAATCATAAGGAGGTTGTTTGGATGAAAGAAATAACTAGCTGTAAGGAGATAGTTTGGTTGAAAAAATAACTAGCTAAAAGGAAATAGTTTGGCTGAAACAAATCGCCTGTTAAAAAAAGAATATCTAATTATAATAAATCATTAATTGTAAGAAGAAAGATTAGTATAAACAAACAACTTTCAAGAAAATTTTTATTGGAAGCAAACACTAATTGAAAGAAGAAAATAAAGTTTAAAGAGATCACTTATAGTAAAGAGACAGTTTGAATGATGTAAATTAACTCAACTTGTAAGGAGATAAACAATTCTCTCGTTGTAAAGAGACCATTTGCACGAAACACCTCTATCCTTGCAGCTCTACTTGGAAGGAAACCATTAGGTTGAAAGAAAACAGTTTGGATGAAACAAGTCATCAACTGGGAGAAGAAAGGTTAATTAGAAGATTTCACTAGTTGAAAGAAAAAAGTCTAGTATAAAGAAATCACTGCTTCCAAGAAGAAAGTTTAATTTCACGATTGACAGTTTGTGAAAATCAATTCTATGGTTGTAAAAAGGCAGTTTTGATAAAATGGCTCTCTAGTTTTATGGACATGCTTTTGATTAAGCAGTTTTCTTGTTATAAAGAATCAGTTTATATGATCAAATCACTAATTGTAGGGAGATCATTTGCATGAAACATACTACTAGCTTTATACAGATAGTTTAGATGAAACAATTCCCTAGTTGTAAGGAAACTTTTTGGATAAAACAAAGCACTACTTGGACATATATAGACTGTATGAAAAAATTCTCTAGTTTTAAGGATACACTTTTGATAAAACCAAGTAGTGATTTGAATTTGTTTCATACAGTCTATATATGTCCAAGTAGTGATTTGTTTTATCAAAAGTGTCTCCTTACAACTAGAGAATTTTTTCATACAGTCTATGTATGCCCAAGTAGTGATTTGTTTTATCAAAAGTGTCTCCTTACAACTATGGAATTTTTTCATACAGTCTATGTATGTGCATACATAGACTGTATGAAAAAATTCCATAGTTGTAAGGAGACACTTTTGATAAAACCAAGTAGTGATTTGGTTCCGTTTCATCAAAACTGTCTTCTTAAAATAATAGATTTGTTTCATACAGTCTATATCTGTCCAAGTAATGATTTGTTTCATCAAAGTGCCTCCTTACAATTAGATAGTTTTTTCATACAGTCTATATATGTGAACTTGTTTCATCCAAGTTCTCTCCTTACAACTACAGACTTGTTTCATCCAAGTTATCTCCTTACAACTACAGATTTGATTCATCCAAGTTCTCTCCTTACAACTGCAGATTTGTTTCATCCAAGTTCTCTCCTTACAACTACAGACTTGTTTCATCCAAGTTCTCACTTTACAACTATAGATTTGTTTCATCCAAGTTCTCTCCTTACAACTGCAGATTTTTTCATCCAAACTGTTTCATTAAAAATATGTGTATATTTAATCCCAACTGTATCCTTACAGCTAATGATTTGTTTCATCCTAATTTGCTCCTTACAACTAGTGATTCGTTTCATCTGAACTGTATCTTTACACCTAGGGATTTGTTTATTCCAAGGTACATCCTCACAACTACAGACTTATTTCATTCAAATTGTCTCCTTACAACTTGTTGTTTTATATACAAATTTACTTCTTCCAATTGGTGACGTTTTTGTCCAAATTGTGTCCTTTCAACAATAGAATTGTTTTTTTTTTTCATCCAAGTTCTCAATTTACAATATCAGATTTGTTTCATCCAAGTTCTCTCCTTACAACTACAGACTTGTTTCATCCAAGTTCTCACTTTACAACTTCAGATTTGTTTCATCCAAGTTCTCTCCTTACAACTACAGATTTGTTTCATCCAAGTTCTCTCCTTACAACTACCAAGTCTGTAGTTGTAAGGAGAGAACTTGGATGAAACAAATCTTTAGTTGTAAAGTGAGAACTTGGATGAAACAAATCTTTAGTTGTAAGGAGAGAACTTGGATGAAACAAATTTATAGTTTTAAGGAGAGAACTTGGTTGAAATAAATAACTATTTGCAGTAATATAATACAATAAAGGTTTATGTTTGAAGCTAAACTAGGTACAAATATACTAAATTCTTTGACGCTTTATTTATTAGCAGGTATGCGTTAATTTGTTTTAATCGACTGACATTTTAAGGAGACTAAATTGCTTTGAAAGATTTGTGCCATAAACATTTATAGACATTTAAAACAGACGCTATCACAAACCAGAAGTGATTTTACATGCCTTACCACAAAAGGTCAATCTCTTCAGTATCGCACTGTAGTGGTGATAAGGATCTGAAAGAAATGAAAGGCGTAATATTATTATTTTAATAAAATATTATTATTTGGATAGTGGAGCCATATCTTGTTTATTCTTATATCAAATAATTGAAAATCTAGTAACTGTTTCTCCGATTGTAGAACACTTTAACTGAAAGGTATGCACAGTTTATTTCTGGTGATTACTTGAGACTATGAAGTCGGGTTTCACTTCCAGGTAGTCAATGGACATATGTTTTTCAAATGGTGAGTTTATGTAGAATTGAAATGATAATGTTCCACCCGAACGATATTGTACCTTTTTTAACATGCAATGTTTGTATGTGTGTATGAGGGGGGGGGGGCGTGATCGACAGTCCCTTGCTTATCTCCATTCAAAAATTATTTATATATGTCTTTTCATAGCCATGAAATACCAAGTATAACAACCATGGTCTTCTGAACATAATCTAAATTGCCATTTCTTTGATCTAAGCGTAACCTGCCACTCATATTACTCTGGCACAAGTAATCAGTGTTCCGAGTTTTGTAGTTTGTCAATCCTTTTCAAATTTTAGGAATTTTGACCCGAATGGGGTAGCATATGAGGGGAAGCGGATATGCGGATATCAACCCCTCAACCAATTCAAAATGATGAATATTGGTCCTCATGCGAGCTGTTCTATGTTCTCACCGTATTTTGAAATGGTTTGATTGTTTTATACGATTGTACATAACTTATAATGCCTATTTTCGCTACAATCTATTTGGATCGTTTGTAGATAATGATTTGTTCGATACAGACTTTAAAACATTTAGTTCGAACTGTATTAAGCATGCTCAGTGTAGTATAAACCTGCATGCAGTCGAACAGCAATATACACGGAGGAACGTATTTTAAAAACTGGTGACAGATTTTGGCACTAGCGCATATCCTTTCTTTAGAGATATATCTCAACAACATAACTAAGTTATAACAAGTCTAATCACTTCTTTTTAAGTGATTTTTCAGCGGATAAATTAATTGATCATAAGCTGGAGCTACCTTTGCTTAGATAACAATCAAAATTTCCTTTTCCTTCATTCAGGAAGCTTTATTAGGCCAGTAGCCCATATCAGTAACTTATAGTTAGTCCCATGGCATCACAGAGGATGCAGTCTTAACTCTTACAAAAATCATAGATGTAATATAGTGGAATGTAGAATATGTTTTATTTAACGTAATCATGTGAAATCGGGATATTGTTTATACTTGACAATCTACGTTAAAATAATTTTATAACCTGTACTGAAAAAACTACTTCCACTGTTTCGTCACAATGAACGCAAGTGTTGACTACAAAGGAAGCAGAGTAGTTGTGACTACCTTGGGAAGTAAGCAATAATTCTGCATGGTCTACTGTTTACTTAATGAAGGAGTAAAATCCGTGGATAACTTGTAGAAAAAATAAAAGAGGGAATAAAAGAATCATAATAAAAGAGTTAAAATGTACTGAAAGTTTCTAAGTTTCAAACTCATAGTCATAAAAAAGCAACCTAAAGTAGCTATTTGTTACTGTGAAATCTCGGTGTATAAAAATATGTCAAACAATGTTGTGAAAGAATTGTACAAAGTTGTCACACGATTGGAAATAGCGGTTTGCCATTTTTCTACTTTTACTGTACTGATACACAATGATACTTAATCAATCACCTTAAAAAGATATTATAAGGTCGTTTATTTCTAGTATTAATATGTCTTCTATACACAAACATGCATTACTGAAAAATAATATTGAAAGTTTTGTGGGTATCAACACATAAATTGTTGTACACTTGTGTAGGCCAGTCTTTTAAATTTAATGCATCACGGACATGATGCCGTATTAGTTGTTATTATCAAAATATCTGGTAAGAAGGGAAATAAAGGAGATTGTGAGTCATGATTGGATTGGTTGATATAGGATCCTTTGAGAAAACAGCATAAAGCTCAACTCTCTTAGCGGTAATCCATAAAATCTTGAAGTTAAAATTATTATATTTTTTAAATGCTTCTTTTGTTATTTGAAAGACATTTTTCGCAAGATGACGTAATCTGGAAGTTTTTTATGTAAATAATTGTGTGGCCTGAAGAAAAAACATACAAGAATCCCGAAACAATATCATAGATAATAATAATGTGAATTATCAAATGTAAACAATAACTTGATTTAACACATCCAGCTTAGCGTACATGTGAACCTTTGTGATCTTACTTATAGTTTAATGACGTCATCTGGTGTTACCCACAAGCAGCCAGTTTTCTATTGAAAGTGAAAGATTGGGTGCTAAGAGGAGGAAGGTGTTATTGGATGACGCTCCTTATATCTTGTAGGCCTATGCATTGGACTAGGAATGAGCTTCGCCAGTCTTGACTAGCTGTTGCAATGGTGTTATGGTTCACAAACACTTATCTAGTATTAATTTCAATGTTTCATTTTCTATTACTAAGTCAGTGCAAAGAGACCAACATACATATACGATGATGAGTTTTGATTCCGAGTTTGAAACTACATCAAAATTCATTAGTGAACCCATTGCAGTCAACGGCATCCAAGAATAATTCGTATATACCATATGTTAAACCTACTGTAAATGACTTTTTATCTAATTCGTAGGTGTTTTCGTCACACTTGGGACGGACGTGTATAAACTCTTCGGTCAAATTTTCGAACATCTGCGTTACAGAAAATTTTGAATGATCATCTGCTGATAAAGTTGAATAGTGTACCAACGGCTGGGTTCGATCCTTGGACTGAAGTTCAACAATATAACATAGGCGAATGAATGTACCAGATGCAGACATATACTTTACTAGAGATTTGTTGAAGAAGTCTTTCAACTAGTTATCCTAAGTATTAAATTTGTTGATGCTAACATTTCTGTATTTCATTTTTCATGTTAAGAACAAATATCTCGGTTGACACTGCAGTATTGTTTCGTTTATCAGTTATTGTGTTAGCTCTATAATTGTATGCACTTTTTTTGAAGGCTTGTCTTGTTATTTTTAAGACATTTTTTTCATCTGATATTCTTTTGTACCATTTGCCCTCCCGCGACACACACATACTAAAATCTTACAAAAAACCCTGGTTGGCCATGTCAGAGACTTTTGAACTCAAGTCCTAAATTTTTAATTACAGATTACAGGGAAAGCAACCAGCAAGCAACACCCACTACCGCAAGGGCTCTTTGAACTAAATGATAGAATTAACTGTTACTTTTAAAATGTATCAACATCTGAAAGCAAGAGGCATGTTAAGCGACATCACTTCTCAAACCTTAAAATCCTTCGATCTGCAGTCCGACATGCTGACAACTAGACTATGCACGGCTCAATACATTAAGAGTATGAATTCTTAAAATGATAGAAGTTAGTCTTACCTTGAACATTTTGTAGCTGACAAAGTGTTGATCGTGTATCGGCTGGTGTTTTAGGCACAGTACTGTGTTCCACACTGAGTGAAGCTAAAGAAAAGAATAATGTCTTGTAAGTTAAAACATATAAAATACCAATAAGTAGAAAAATTAACTTCTGAGAATTATTAATATTTTTCTCCAAACGATCTTGCAACACACCACTGTTTCGTACTAAAATTTCACTTGGTTTATTTTGGGATTACTAAATGTTTTATAAATTGTTTTTGGAAAGTAAAATATGATAGTGTGGTTGGGAAATAAGATTATTCGCTTGAAGTTAAGCATAAAGCAACACAATGGGCTATCTGTACTCTGCCCGCTACGGTATCGAATCGCGGATTCTAGCATTATAAATCCGCAGACATACCGCTGTGTCTGTCCTTTAAGTCCATGAACTCAATAGTTACCCACACTGGTCCCCACAACCGTGCATAATGTCCTGTCACACCACAGAACTTCTGTATGTCTTCTGGTACTCCTTTGATAGTCACAAGGGTTTGCTGAGATGCAGAATCTATGACAAAGTTGCACTTTTGGCCATCCAGCTTTCCTTTCACGTGCTTGCCATTTTATACTTAGCTGTTGGGACTTTCACGATGGGGTTTGGTGGGCGTCCCTCAACACCAACCACTACTGGTCTCCCCTAGGCTGACTTCTTGGTAGTATTATTCTTAAACTGGTTCCTCATATGTCCTTGCTCTCTACAGTTCCAACAACCTTTGTGGGTAGCAGCCTTTCCTGCCAAGGCATCTTCCATGTGTTGAAGTTGCCGGCATTGAGCTCTCTTGTGCCCAGGTTTGTTACAGTGCCAGTAAATTCCTTCAAACTTCTCTGAAAGCTGCCCTTTTCTGGCCTTGAATCCTGATGACGTACCAACCTTGGTACCTCTGTGCTGGACTTAACGTAGGATTCGAATTCAAAAGCTCTGGCCATTGCATCCTGCCTAGTAGATGGGGTGTGCTTGCTTTACTTGTATCTTCGGTTGTGGACTGTCCAAGGCATCTAGAAACTGATCCCTCAGCAACAGCTTGAGGACATCGGGTGTTGCAGTTGGGTAGGCCTTGTGTGCCATACTTTCCAAATCCTGTGCCAGCTCTTGCACGAACTCTCGTCCTAAACCTAGCCCTGTAGACTTTAGACTGATTTTGAGTTCCATACCCGATTTCTAGAGCAGCTACCAGTGCTCTATAGTTGTGCCTGTCGTCTGCCTACAACTGTCCAAGTATTTCCAGTGGTTGTCCCTTCAGGCTCGTTGCCAGGTACACTGCTTTCTGCTCCTCTGTCCATCCATTAATTTCTGCCATGAGCTCAAATTGTGCTCTATATACTTCTCACGGTGCCTTCCCATCGAATTCCTGTGGCTTCCTTCGTACTAGATCACCCCTATTGTTGACACTCATGTCTGGAATGTGATATCTGGCAGGACTGAAAATGTCTGCATTAGGATTTAGCTGCAGGGTCTGAATAGGTCCATGGCTAATATATCCTCCTTGTATAAACGACAATAAATCGTCCTTTAATGTATTTAGTTCACTTTGAAATTTACTAATCTTTTCCATTTGTACTTCATGCTGATGTGGTACTCTCTCTCCTGGTTCTATTTGCCACTGTTGCTGACTTTCCCGCAACTGTTGGAGACTTCCTTCTTGTTTCCTTTCTTGTTCCAGTTGCCACTGGTGCTGGTTTTCTTGCCACTGCTGTAGTCTCTCTTCTTGTTTATTTTCTTTTTCCTCAAACCACTGCTGTAGCCTCTCTTCTTGTTTATTTTCTCGTTCTTCTTGTTTTTTCTTTTTCCTTCAACAACTGCTGTAATCACTCTTCTTGTTTCTTTTCTTTTTCCTCCAACAACTGCTGTAATCTCTTTTCTTGTTTATCTTCTCGTTCTTCTTGTTTCTTTTGCTGTTCTTGTATTGTTCCCATCAAATCTGCCAAGCTGTAGTTTGATATACCACTTCTCGTTTCCATCTTCTTTTTATTTCCGTCCCACTCTCTGACACTAAATTTGGTTGGGTATCTGCTTGTTTGATAATTTACGGTAAAAATTATTTCCGAGTGACTTTAGCGATACAAGTCCCTTCTTGATTAAAACTAGTTTATTCTTTCTCGTTACAACTTTGTAATATACAGAATTT